AAAAGTCTTTTTTTTTGCATAGCTAAAACATTAAAGCCCAGAGAGATTTAAAAAAGAATAGCTTGCACATTTTTTTCAAGTACTGTAAACTAAGAATGACATTTTCATTAGTGCCTCTTTCTCTTTCAGGAACTATGTGAAAAACAACATTTGTTTTATGAGTCATGACCAAGAGGAATTGGCGCCAAAAAAACTCCAAAAAAGAAAACATCAAGAGCAGCTCTTGGAGTGTAAAAGCTGTGTGGTGGGGGACAACCAAGGCAGTCTGGTCCAGAGACCTACTGGCCTCAAAACCTTATAAATGTTGATACAGTATAAGAACGTTTAGTACGGAGTCTTCATACCAATACATGTTGACCAATGCCATGTTTTGTCTTTAGTGTCATGAAGTTAATTTATAAAAACAACCTTTAATCTCCACCCACAATAGGTGAATGAGGTAGAAGGCCCCAAGACTCTATTATTCTGAGCAGGATACCAGGTAAAAAAATGCTGGCTGGTTCTACACTTTGCACCTTTTCACAGAGTAGCTTTGACAGACTGAACTAGGGACATGATCACCTTTGCCTTCAGTTGTGTATGTATAGAGGCCAGTTGCGGTTTTATCATTCAGATACATAAGTGTCTAAACACAAGCTTGTGGTTTTTTGCCTACTAAGACTACTTGCACTGGGTCTTGTGTAAAAAAGAATCAGAACACAATGTGGACAATTGCACATACGTTCTACATTAGGAGAGGGTGCTGGCTAGGATTTTAGTGATAAATCCTAATTACAGTTTAACAGGTTACAAACATTATGCATCTTATTTTATGAATTGTGAACTACAATGTAAAGTACCTTTTGTGAATTTCATATTAGCATTATAAAATAATGCGAAAAATAATTCTTTAATAGCTGAGAAAAATAAGCATGTTCTCATCCATTTAAAAAAGATGAATAGAAAGGACAATATGAAATTCCTGGGACCATATTTATTTAGAAGTAGCTGTTAGTAAAACATTAGGAGTCAGGCCATTAGATTACTTATCCCAATCTCTAAGCAATTACATTTGACTTTTCAAGCCAAGCTTATAAAATTCTCTTTGTAAGGCATTCATAACTTAATAGCGATCCGGTTTCCTGTAATTATCTGCACTCCTCAGGATTATCACTACCTCAGGTTATGGCATACAGGCTATAATCAATGCTGACTTTCAGATGATTACAGCCATAATACATGACATTCAGACATCAGGACAATTGCTGTTCTTCTCTATGCTGAAACAGAGATCGCCAACTGCACCAGAAACTTGGGTTTCCACCCACACAATGAGTTGCTCTCTTGTGCATTTCTCCAGTTGACTTTTAAACTTGGTGAAGCATTTTACCTATAGAATTTAGATATGATAGAAAATCTACAGTGAAGAATCTCAAACCACTAAGTAGTAATCCATTACATTACTAATATTGTAAGTTATGGAAGACACTAAAAAAACTTAATGAGCAACCTAACTTGAGAATGAATACAAAAATATGATTAATCTGAAGAAAAGAGAATTCTGAGTCAAAAACAAGGACCCTTTTTATTTAGCCTGGAACTTTCCTCCTGGGATGTAACAAACTGTCCCAAGCTTGATATAAGGGTATATGATACATTTCCTTGTAACAAAGTGGAAGACTAACTGTTGTAAAAAATAGTAAAACTAGCCCGGCTGGCATTGCTCAACAGTTGAGCATCAACCTATGAACCAGGAGGTCACGGTTCAATTCCCAGTGTGGGGCATGTAGGAGGCAGCCAATCAATGATTCTCTCTCATCATTGATGTTTCTCTCTCCTTCCCTCTTTCTTTTTATCTGAAATCAATAAAAATATATTTTTAAAAAAGAGTATTAAAAAATAGTAAAACTATATTATCAGAGACTCAGGAGAATGTCTAACAGTCCTGGTTCTGAAATGTACTCTCTCGATTAAAACTGGCAGGGGAAGTTATGAGGAAAGGAGATTTGAGATAAATGAAGTTCAGACTTCAGGACAACTCCCTACGAAGACACTACTTGCACTGGGTCTTGTGTAACATTTTATATGCAAGTTAGAGCATGCATTGGTGTGGTTTTTTCCCCCCCATTTATTTGTTTTGAAGAAGAGAAAGTGTGTTCTGTAGAGGATCAATTTAAGAAATTTATTATGAATCTTCAGTGGAATTATATTGAGATTTAAAAAAAATCAAGATAGGTAATCAATATAAATTTTTGTGCTTTGCCAAGCATCACAGAATATAAGATATTTAACAAAATTGTTATGTTTTCTCTGAAATTCAAATGCTATATACTTCAGCTATCTTGGTTTAGCCATTCTTTGTTAACGGGCAGGAAACTGTTTATCAACCTATTTATTATGTTTATTACTAGTGATTTCAACTTCAGTATCTTAAAATGCTTTGTAATATTTTTCTTTTCTATTGAGTCTGTAACTAAACAACTCTATCTTCAATCTAATTTTCACCCAATACACCACCAATCAGAGCTTTTTGATTTTCAAAAATAAAAGGGGAAATACTTCGAATTTGTATGGATATAGTCACAGTTTTTATTTATAAAAACATTTACAGCACTTGTGAAAAGCCAGCAAAAGACACCAACTGCCTCCTCTCTCACCAGCTTTGCTAAGTTCCGCGGGTTGTCCAGGCCTGTCGGCCAGGTGCCGCTCCTACAGCCTGAAACCAGACCTGGCCGGATTGTCTTTCCTCCTCTTTTCCAAGAAAGCATTCTGATGAGCTGCTTACTGATCTACTAGTTTTTAAGTCACTCCAATACTGAAAATGTCATGACATCTGGTTACGTACCCTGGCCATATAATCATGTTTTTTTCCCCGTTTCCATATTCCTTTTTTGGGAACACAGAAAACCGGAAGTCACTTATTAATTACTGTTAATTAAAAGTAAGTGGAAAATCTCAAATTTCAAAAGTCTTCACAGAACCTGTAACCTTTTCATTGAATTTTATTCTCCATTTTATGAGGTTAGCTATCCTATTGGAACTTTAAATGAAGCAAATAAACACAAATGTAAAAGTAAGGACAAGAGAAGTCTGAAAATCACAGTTAAGTTTTTCACAACAAAGAAAATACAAAAGTTAGCATTTGCCCCTGCTTATGAGGGAGTGAGAGGCAGGGTAGGGGAAGATATAGAGAAGAAGACAAAAACAAAGTAATATGTATTGTTCAGTGCAGTGCTTAAACTAAGTTTTCAAGATTTATAATACGGTAAGGAAAATGTACTAGAATATAGAGGTTAAGATATTGCAATTTTCACAAAGGTTTCAAACATTTTTGAAATTCAGGTTTTAGAGGAAGACTGCATTGGAATATTGTCTCTATGGAGAAGCTGATTTGATTCTGGACTAGGTCTTATTTCTAGGTAAAATCACTGTTTAAACTAAACTCCTAAACACACAGGGCAGAGCACAACGGCAGCCTGATCCTGCATTACCATTCCAAGGCTTGTGGCTGAGCCAGACAGCCACTGTTTCACAAAGGCATATTTATTACTTTAAGAGTAGCCATCCTATATACTCAGTAGTCACTCTTTAGCTCCTTTACATAAGACACAGCAAGGGAAAGACAGATCTTGCAAAACGGCTTTCAAGTTCAAGTTGAACTAGATTATGATGATACCGTGGCACAGAGGCAACTAGTGGAACTTCTTATTAAAACAGCACAATATATCACCATGTGACAAGACAGTATAGCCTTGAGTACCAACCTAAGATTATTACTTTCCTACAACTAGAGTTGAGTCTTTTCAGAATACAAAGGTACATATGAGGTACAACCCATCATACCTTCTTTCTTATATCCATCTTGTAAGTAAGAAGTTTCTCTTTTTAAAACTACACTTTTGTAACTTTTAAAAGATATCTAACATTTTCTAGCATATTAAATTAGCAACATAAAACATTATGCTTAATCTATAAAGTTCTACTTTGGTTCCCTAGAATTTATATACATGTTTTTATATCTAATCTGAAAAAAAAAAAATCCCTATTTGATATTTGGTAACAGAGAATTAAATTATATATATATATATTTCCCCCACAAAACATACTTCAAAAAGAAGCCAACACACTTTAGCAAAAGTCTAAGCTTGCATAGATTAAAAAAAAATTATGAATACAATTTTTATTCATAGAAAATGGGGAATAAAAGTTATAGAATGGATATGAAGAGAGACCTTTTCCAAACTTTTATTTGTGCATATTCAATTGAAAAAGATAACTTTTACAGGTTCTTTGGTGCCCATATTCAGCATACAAAAATGTAAAAGACTATTCACAAATAAAACACATTAGCTCAAACTGGAAAAAAATAACAAAACAATTTAAGGTAGTGCACACTGTGACAGCTCTGCTTATGGGGACATGAGAATTACTGCGAAAATAAATAGAATGTCCTTCTGTAAAAGCAGCAATGTCATGTCTTGTAAACTTCCTTTTTATATTACAGCAAAGTTTGAAATAAAATCCAAAGGGACTGGAGCTTCTTACACTGTAGCCGTGAATGAATAAAAGAGTCTATTTTCTCAATTACTGTTGGTCCAGTTTCCTTTTGTTTTGAGTCCAATGTGCAGCAGGTTTTAAAAGGTGCTCAGTTAGGGATTCTAACCAATTAAGTGATGAATTATAAAATCTCTTTCCTGCTTTCAAACACAAACGGGTAAATCTGTTCCACGGCAGTAGCGACAGCCTTTACATTGGGCCCTGAAACACACACAATGGAGGAAGGGGTGAGAAGAGGCACGGAAAGCACTGGGAAAAGCTCAGTTCTCACAATTAAAAATACCCAAGCAGTTCGGGGGTTACTGTTTTAAATAATCTACAAACATAATTATACACATAGCCATAATGAAAACTAAGAGAATAAAATTTTCCCTGGACAATTAAAGGAAATCTGAAACAAAAATGATGTTACTCGTCTCGTTTTAGGGCACCAGTGTGAAAAGAGCGTAGATTGGTCCAGTTTCCTTTTGTTTTGAGTCCAATGTGCAGCAGGTTTTAAAAGGTGCTCAGTTAGGGATTCTAACCAATTAAGTGATGAATTATAAAATCTCTTTCCTGCTTTCAAACACAAACGGGTAAATCTGTTCCACGGCAGTAGCGACAGCCTTTACATTGGGCCCTGAAACACACACAATGGAGGAAGGGGTGAGAAGAGGCACGGAAAGCACTGGGAAAAGCTCAGTTCTCACAATTAAAAATACCCAAGCAGTTCGGGGGTTACTGTTTTAAATAATCTACAAACATAATTATACACATAGCCATAATGAAAACTAAGAGAATAAAATTTTCCCTGGACAATTAAAGGAAATCTGAAACAAAAATGATGTTACTCGTCTCGTTTTAGGGCACCAGTGTGAAAAGAGCGTAGATAAAAAAACTACACACAAACTATCCCCGAGGAGAATAGAAAGTGCTATGATAGGACTATTAACGGGAGAAAGGACAAACGGGCCCAGAAAACCATTATCCTCTTGGAGATTGCAGTCTGGCTTTTTGTGAGGCTACAACTGAAGCTTGCGGGAGTCGGAAGCCCAGCAGAGTAAAGCAAAGCTGCTTCCCAGGTGCTGGGACGCGGAGGCTGTTAGAAGCCACCTGGTCTACAATGCCCACAGGCTTACTGCTCCTGGGCAGCAACATGTTTACTACCAATCTGGCCATCTCACCCTCGCAGCTTACTGAGGCAATAGAACACAAAAAAAGCACAAGGGAATGAGGTGACGCTGGGAATAACTTTTAAAAAATGTAATCTTTCATTTAAATAGCTCAAAAGAAACATAAAAGTGGGTAATAAAAAATATTTTCATAACATTTTGAATAAAAATGGTTTCACTAACTATACTTACCACCTTTGAAGGATCCTAAAAAACATACATATGGACCTGCTGTATACTCTGACAATCTGAATACGTCTTACACTGGTCCACTCCCTTCTTGACTCAGTTTACCCCTACACATAGTACAGTGCTTTGCCCGTGGGAACACATACTGAGTATGTGTTCACTGAATTGTTATAGAATTTCATAAAATATTACAGATGTAAATATATAATGCATCCTAATTAACCAGGTCAGTTGTCTTCAGTTTGTTATTGTGTTGTTTAAATATCTATTAACTCAATAAAAGACAGATTTTACATATGCATCATTTTATTCTATACTTAGTAGAGACTTATCTGTAGACTTTGGGGCCCCTCAGAAGTCTGGGTTCCAAAGTACAGAAATGACAGTTGAAAGAAGGGAACAAATAGATGTGTTCCACTTTTACTTCAGGCACAGCCCTGGCAATAAGCTTGAAAAGTTTCAGAAGTAGGCGTGAAAACCCATGGGATGAGTCAAAACTAAAACTTATTTACTGAGTGTTTAAAGGTGTTAATAATTTTTATTCTCCTTTAAGGATTGAGGGAATAAAAAGAAAAACTCAAGGACACTAAAGAAATTTCCCTTAACACAAATGTGCCAAAAGTTGGGTCTGATTCCCAAGTAATGTCTTTGTACAACTTATAACCATGGTACCTGTACAAATCATCCTGCAGAGTTAATGCTACCCTTTGACACCTAGGCCTAGTGTTTAGAAACCACCCCTTCCAAATAGTTGACTCAAAAGATATGTAACAAATAGGTACAAACTATATTTATATCTTTGCTTATGTAAAACCTTTATAAAGTTCATAAAACTGAATTCTCTTAAGTATTTTAAATGCAAGATATTGTAAGTTTAAAAGTAATATAATGAAAAAATATACTAGAATATTTTTAATAGCTCAAAACTGGAAACTATCCAAATGCCTGTGGACAGTATACTTATACACCGAACACTGCACAGCAATGAGAATGAATGATCTATCACTACACGGAGGATGAATCCCACTGCGATAATGATGAGTGAAAGAAGACAGAAGCAAAGTACTATGATTTTAAAACAGTATATGAAAGCAGGTAAAACTAACCTATCATGTTAAAGTCAGGAGACTGGTTCCCCTTTAAGGGCAAAAGTGACTAAAGGTGACAAATTAGACATTATTTCTATTTTGGTATAGGCACCTCTTATTTCATTCAATACAGAATTGACAAGTTTGGTTTCAATATCATAAAATACCTGTTACTGTGATGCTTCCTGTTGAAAAAATCTGTAATGTAGCTCGTAGAGATTTTATCCGATAGCACACAGCAGGATGAAGTTCAGGTTCATAACTACACAAAGAAAGCCACAATATAAGTATAGCCTGACAAGTAATTTCAAATTTGGTAAGTTACTTTGATTTCTCAAAGACCTACCTGGCATGAGGTCTATTGTTCTTCGTGAATTCTGGCAAACGGATTTCAAATGGCATGTTACACACTGCTAAAACATTAACAACCTTAAAATCTGTAAATATTACCTTTAGGAGAGAAATAAAACTCAGTGAATTATTTTGAAACAAAAAAATCTGCTCATCAGAGAAATCCTTAATAAATAAGTTTCAATCTTTAAAAAGCAAATAAAACAAATATCTTAAGCATGGACCCAGTATTTTAAGTTATCAGTGATTAATTAAATTAAAGAAAAACAACTCAAAAACTTTAATAAGAAAATAAAACCTGAGATATTTGCATGACTGAATTTCATGTTTAGTTTAGTTTGTTTTGTTTTTTTTATATTTGAAATGGGATATTCAGTCTATTGGGATAGGAGAGCAAATAGAAAAAAAATGAAAACACAGTCCTCTTCTCAAGAGTTTAAATGGAAAAGTTGTTACTTTAAAACTCAATGAATAGTTGAGTATACACTAAACTCCAAAGATCAGACTTTTTCTTATATGCAGTAAGGTAAAATGATCTTTCTGTGAGCTTAGATGTTTGTTTTCTTTAGGGGGACAGAGTGAGGGATAAAGGGATAAAATTGTGCTTTTAATTTACTGGAATTTCTCTCAACATTTCTAATATTATGCTAAGATAAGAAGCTCTAAGGCTAAAAATAATGTCCTCTCAAATTAATAACTTCAGCAACTCCTTGACTGGTTTTATCTTATCTTTTCAAATGTTCCTAGTAAAACCACAATTCTGGATAAATACCCATCCTCCAACCCAGTACCTGCACAAGATAGCTGCAGAAAGCCATAAAATTGTGCAAAGTGCCCCACCATCTTTTGTCTCTATACCACCTCTCTTCAAGCACCAGAACTCCCACACCCACCAGCTCGTCAGTGCCTTCCTCTCACCTACCTCAGAGGAGACTGAAGTCATCAGAGGGAAACTCAACTTCCCATCATTTCTCATCTAAATTCAAAAGAGCCTAGGCTCATCTCTTTAGGGACTTGTCTTTATCTTTCATTTACTCATTATCTGCAAGTGACTTAGCAAGTGCATAATATGTATTAATTTTATTCAAATTTATGCCTCTACAAAATTATATTTGATGAGGTTACCCAGCCAGCGATGATCACTGTATAAGTGTGAGAGCCTGCCAACCAGTGTGTACATGTCAACAGGGTCCTGCAGCTCTCAGCTCATCCTGATATATATATGTATACTACTCTTGGGATGATCAGAAATATGTGGTGTTTTTGGTGGTTGTTTGTTTTGGGGGGAGGGAGAGGTGGGGCATTGTTAAAGGTGAAAAAAACTTAAAGAGTTAAAAAGGTAGTTAAGAAGTGGCGGACGGAGGCCAGTGGATCCTGCGACTGTGGAGGGCGAGCATTTGTAGTATTTTATCTTGTCTACACATGGGTGGACTGAGGAGTTTGGGAAATCCAGGAGGAAGAACCCATCCACCTATGAAAACGACAAATGAGCAATTCATATGGAGGATGGCTCCCTGTCTCTGAAAGACCCTCCTCTGGGAGATGAGTCTACATTGTATAGTGTCTTGAAGACACAATAAACTTATGGGCTGCCAAAAAAAAAAAAAAGTAGTTAACTTGTAAGAAAACAAGCCAGTGTCTCTCTATAAGAAGAATCTGAAAAAAAGTCAGGATCCTTTAAAAACATCCACGTGGACAAATTTTGCTACTAACTTTTTATACTGAAGAACAGTATAAAAACCTTAGGAAAAGGTCAATCATGAGGGTAGTTTCTGTCGTGATTTCTTTAGTCTACTAAATTCAAAGTTTTAACTTTACAATAATAAATCCTTGAATATTTGCAGTTTGGATACATTTTGAAAACGTTACCTGAAAACCTAGTTTCTGCAGACTGCGGGCTAGACGTCTGGCACCAAATTTAGCTTCTTCTTCACTATGGTTTTAGGGGAAAAAAAAGATTGTTATATAGGAAATCAATTTTATACTGAGGAACATGACAAATTGTACATATGATTTTGTTTCTAAGTTTACAAATGTTCCTTTCATGAGGGGGAAGTTAAAAAATTAAAAACCCAAATAAAATTTACCTTGTTGCTCCAGTGCAAATAATTTTTCCTGAGGACCAAATTGTAGCTGTAATTCTAGGTTTTCTAAGTTTCATTAATACTTTCTGAAAAAAAAAAAAAAAGTACATAATAAGGATTAATTTTCATTTAGAGTGGAACAAAAGTAGGCTTACAGTTGTGAGTAAGCAAAAACAGTTATTCTTAATAATTATTATTAATTATTGTATAATTTTTCATCCAAACAACTGTAAACATTCTTTTGCCCCACCCTGTATGCTTCTGCTCTATGTGGCTATTTTAATGTTTAAATACTATTCTAAGCTTTCCCACAATCAAAATAACTGTTCCCTGCATCATCTACCCATTCTGAAATCAAGTACCATACTGAACAAAAGAATGTATTAATCCAAAAGGACACTTAATTAAAAAATACATGGACTATATAAATCTCTCACTAATAATACTTAAAACCAATGAGCTACCAGGTATGTAAACATTTCTTCTCTCATTCCACTCCAGTCACATGACTACAATTTATAATTTGCATGGATCCTTAAATATGGGAAATTTGTTCACATCTCATGAGCTGTGCGGAAGCTGTTATTTTCAACTGGAATATTTTTCCTTCATATTTTCACTTCATTCAAGTTTCTCACCAGATGTCACCTCCATAGAGGGGCCTTTCCTGACTCTTCCACCAAAACACCCATCCCTTTATTGCCCTGTAAATGCTAACCTTGCTTTATTCAGCCTCATGGTATCCATCACTACTTGACATTGTCTTACAGTTAAAATGCCTATTATATATTCTAGTTCTATATGCAAATTTTGAATGCAGGGGAAAAGTTGGAGCTAGAGATATAATTTTAGATATGAAAGGCATTTAAAGCTATGGGTTTGAATAAAATTATTTACATTGTGAGTATAAATAGGTCAAGAGCTAAGATCCAAGATAATATGTGAATTTAAATTTTCATTGCAACTTTTCATTTATGGAAATATTTATCATATGCCCATTATATGTAAGAGATAAATGTTTACTGAATAATGTAGCACATAAATGAATCAGGTATTTCTCCTTAAAACTCTTGTTACAGTTTGAGGTCTTCCTTTTCTCTGTTATATGCCATATTATCAAACTAGAAAGCTATTAAATCTGGGAAGACAAAAATTAACAAAGACACAAAATGGAATCTGAGTAAATAATTATAAAATTTCAAACACAAGTGGCTGGGAAACACTAGACTGAGTTTATTCTACGTTTGTCTTTCACCACCAGCTTGTCCATCAACTCAGCCTTTTCAGTTAACGTTCCTAGGAAAAATGACTTCCCTGCCATATGGTATATTAAAAGTCTCAAAGTAGCATTAGGCAATTTCTTCACTAAACTTTTTAGCAAACATATTTACTCCTTTTTTTAAAAAAAAATGAAGATGACATTATTGAACTTGAAAATCTTTAATTGCGGGTCACTGAAAATTTTAATTCATCTTCACTTAGTTTCTAGCACTAAGAACTAATAATAATTTTCCTAAGTATACTGGCATCTAATTTTTAGAGCTTAAATAAAGCCTTCAAATACATTCTTAATTTTCATAAAAAATGTATGATATATAATCTCATCAATCATTGGTTTATAAAAGCCAAATGAACACCCACTGTCATGTATAATATTAATCTCAAAACACTAAGGTTAAAAAAGCAAGTTAACAGCTTTTATTTTCAGTATTATGGGTTTTACAAAAATTACAATTTAGAATATACAGGGTAGGATATGAACCATATTTTCAGCAATTTGCTACTGAAAGAATACCAGCTATCCTGGCTAATTAAAGAGGGCTATGACAACATGCTACAAAATTTACAATCTGACTTTCTCTATCCTAGGACACCATTCAAACATAATTATCTATATATATAAAAGTCTAAGCGATTGGCTGGTTGACGTGCACTGATCACCAAGGGGCAGACACTCAATACAGGAGCAGAAACCACAGGCATGGAAACATGGGACAGACTGATGAATCTCAGAGGGAAGGGGGGAGGGAGAAGGGCGGGAAGAGATTAACCAAAGATATGCATACGGATTCATGTACTGGTGGGGTCCCTTGGCCTGGCCTGTGGGGATCAGGCTGAAACCGGCTCTCCGACATCCCCCGAGGGGTCCCGGATTATGAGAGGGCAGAGGCCAGGCCGAGGGACCTCACCAGTGCACAAATTGTGCACTGGGCCTCTAGTATTTAAATAAATATACATAAAAAGTATAAAAGTCGCCTTCTTCAGTCAAAAGAAATTGAGAGAACAGTATAAAATGTCTAGTAGCCAATGAGTTCTTTGGTAAGACTTGGAGATAAGTATCTCCAAAAGCTGCTACTTCATGAGAAAAGGTGCCACTTCTACAGGGCTCACTATTGTATCCAGCACAATTAGCACATGGTAAGGTGCTCATAAATTATCTATAGCAGTGGTCGCCAATCTTTTGGACCTCACGGACCACCAGTGGTCTGCGGACCACCAGTTGGCGACCGCTGCTCTATAGAATAAATACATTTTAGTACATCATTCCTAGCACTATACAATTAGCATACATACCAAAATTCAGATACTTACTCCAACATCACGCTTATAAATTACATTTGCTCCCTCCAAAGCAATCTTCCTTAAGTTCAAATGGCATCTTGTTCTAAAAACACAGACTACATTTGTAATTAGAATGTCCAATGCAACATCACTGTCTGCATCCATTGGGGTAGTTTAAAAACTTAGCTTCCCACCACGAAGATCACATCCTGAGAAACAAAATAAAATAAAGTAATTAAACTTTAATGTTTTCTGAATTTTTCACAAATAAACTTGAAAACTAAAATGCAAAAAACAAATCGATACTATTTATTTTTAAATGTTACTCAAATCAAATCATGTCCCTTATTTTCCCCACTAAAAATGCCATTTTTAAAAGATAACATCATTAAAATCTAACTTTCATTCCTTAAATTTAATAAGTAACTTTTACATGCCAGGAGGCTGCCAAACTTATCTCCTGCTACTTGCCTATACCACCACTATGTTCCAGGTGTATCACAGTTATGGCAATTCTTCAAACACACCAAGTTCAAGGGCTGCACTTTGTGGTTCCAATATCTAATCATTAATGGCACTATAACCCATCTCACATTTGCTAGGGCTATAAAAAGTCAGACCTATTTTTCACTTATTTTGAGTAAATGACTTAAGTTTAAAGAAGCAGAAACATTATTTATAACATTTATAAACAAATGTTTCTCATTTACCAGTCGTTCATTCATTATTCACCTACTGAACAACTATACATTGAGGACACTGGAGAAAAAAAGTGTATGAGGCCAAGTCTTTTGTCCTCAAGGAGCTCACAGACGTGTGTGTGTGGGTGTGTGTGTGTGTGTGTGTGTGTGGTGTAGGAAGGAGCTCTAACAAGTAGTTAGCACAACACCATTTTTACTGAGATCACAATCTTCCAAAATACATATCTTTTTAAAACTGACAGGAAGCATTTTCCATAAACAAACAAAATGAGCCCTAGTTTGTACTATGCATAAGACCCATATTCCAGCTAAAAAATTTTTCTTTGACTGGGTTTCCACATCTTAAATAAATAAGTAATGATAATTCATCTTACCTAATTTACAGAGAAAATCAGAAAATAGCAACAGATATAAATTATTATGTGACTAAACAATGAAGATGCCAAGTGTCCAAATAAAGAAAATTCAATTTTCTTTTTCTGCCTTCCGCTATACTAGAACCCAGGAACAAATCAGACCAAGACTTCCGGCACCTCCACAGGATCAGACTGCATCCAATTCTGTGTACCAATTGTTCCTCAACTGCATTGTATTTTCTCACTCTTAGGTTCCCTACAATCTGCTTGTTTTCTCGTTTTTCTGTTCTTTGTGTATGTTTAAGCAACCTCAAATGATTTTTATGTATAAGGTGTGGGGCAGGGGTGGCAGTGGCCCTTATTAATAGATATATAGGTAGATTAATAAGCAGAGGACAGAGGCAGTTTTCAATACTGATCTTAAGCAGCAGGCTCAATGTCTGAATAATCAATTACTAGTTATGACAACATGGACAAGTTAAGCAGTCTCTCTGTGCCTTGGTTTTCTCAGATGTGACATGTAATAATGGATGGTGCCTATGAGATAGTATTGGGGGATTATATAAAATGTATGAAAAGTACTTAGCACATGTATCTTGGAAATAATAACACAAAACCAAAAGTGATTATGGATAAAATGAGTGTTCAAATCAACTGGTAGAACAGAGGTTTCTTAGCATCACTTCCCATGATTACATTTAACTGTGAGGAAGAGGCTCCAAGTTGCTCACCCCAACATCCACTCCATCCTTCCTTCACAAGGAACAGAACCCAGCTGTCTAGCCAGCCACATACATTGTGGCAGAAATAAAATACTACACATTTCAGGCTCCCAGGCAACAGGTACAGCTAAAAAGCCACATGACTCTGTGACTGTCAATAAAATGTAAAATGAAATAGTTTTGTGTCTTTTGGAAAGTGTGCTTAGAGGGACTGATCTAAGCCAGCAAAAAAAACCCCTTTGCCTTTCTGCCCTTCTTCATACTTGCTGCCTAGAGTCTGGATGTGAGAGCTGGAGCTCAAGGAGCCATTTGGGATCATGAGACTCTGGGTAATAAAACTCCTTATTATCCCTGCACTTCCTAACTCTAGATGTCATGAATATGAGAGAAAGTCTATTTCTGTTAAGACCCTCATACTGGATTTCTGAGGTATGTAGCCAAACCTAATCCTAATTGACACACATCCCATGAGAATAAGCTACAAAACACTATTTAAGGAGAAATTACATATAAAGAAACTATGTCAAATTTACTGATTCACAAAGTTGTTTTGTTTTTACATCAAATAGGCTAAAACAAATTCACTCAGATCTACTTCTCTGAGTATTAAATTAGTAAACTGAGGAGAAAATTCAAGGACAATATGTAGGGTAAAAATAAGTCAAGATAGAAGGGGTAAAGCAAACCTTTGTGAATGCAAAGAAGCCTTGAAATTCAAAACAGATGATTATTTTTATACTGCAGCAACTTAAATTCTAAAGACGAGGTCACACACATAGTTCATCATAAGTATATACTTAGATACTTAAACAGCCAAAACGTTAACAATTATTGTATTCAGAGAGTTGGCATCTGAGTGATTGTAAAACTTTTTTCTTCTCTTGTTTTGTAGACTAGATTTTTCTTTTTAAGAACAACAAATATATATTAGATTTACTATAAGAAAAATAAAGTTAATTCCATTTTTATTTAAATATAGTTATCAGTTATTTTTCCACTGCCCAAAGTCTGATATGAAGACATGGTTTAATCAGGTGTTTTTTCCTGTTTCTGAAGTAAATACCTAGTATGAGTTCAAATATATCCTTCAAATAAGAAGCAAAGTTCAAAATTGCAGCTGTCCTAACTTCAGGAAATATTCTATTTCTAGCTTTCATTAAAATGCACTGTAGAGTTGAAGCAACTTCTTCTTCGATCCATGATTTTTCAGACAAGAATACACTGTTCTTTAGGTCCTCTGACTTTCTAGTGGTATTTAAAAACATTCCTTCGGCACCTGAAATCTTAAAGCAGCACCTGGAAAACACTGCCACCTCCTGGCTTTTAAGACAAATTGCACCTAAGACTACTACATTTTAAATTCCACACCAGAAAAGATACTTAAACTGAAAGGCCATAATAAACACCGCAATAATATAACTAAAAGCAAAACAAATAACCCTAAAGAAACCTTAGTATACAAAAAAGTAGATCGTAGCTACTTTAAGTGTATTCAAGTTGCATATGAAGATACTGAGGGAGGGGCCTAAAAGGTTTAACCACAAAGTTGCCATCCATGATTTAAGAAATGGCAGAGGGGAAGGCTGGATATAGACTAATTTGCAAACACAACATGAACGCACTTGTTCCCCTAGTGATCATTTTTTTTCTAAAAGTAAGACATGGCATTTAAACCAACTCTTCTTTGTAAAGCTCCCAAAATAGCAGATAGAAAACAGTTTGTATGGTGATTCCAACCAATTACTATACTTGACAGTCTCCCAACACATGCCTGTGACCAAGATGGAAAAAAATAAAACATTTTGCCTTTGAGAAAGAGAGTGTTCTTTTACACCTGTTTAACAGTACAGCATATACCTTACTTTTCTGGAAATTGGTAATAATATCACTGTACCTCCCAGGGTATTTCTAAGGATTCAATTTAATTATCTATGTCAAGCACATAGTACACACACCATGTTTAATAAATGGCAGCTATTACTGTTTGATAGATTCACATAGTTGAATATTGTAACCAAATAGTATTTAATGAATTGGTACAAAACTTGAGAACAATCACATTACCAGACAGAGAAAACTGAGGTCTTAATAGGTCAGGCAGGAGTCAGCGATAGCCAAAGGGCTAGCGCTTGTTCTATAAAAAAGGTTTTATTGGAACAACCATAATCATGTTGTTACATAATGATTATGGCACCATTGAGCAGTTCTGACAAAGACCAAATGACCCACAAGTCTAAAATAGTTACAATCTGGTCTTTTAAGGTGAGAGAGAGAGAGAGAGAGAGAGAGAAGGAGAAGAGAGAAGGAAAGAAAAGAAAGGGGTAGAGGGTAGGGCTAGATAATTAACCAACAGTTAGGAAGGGTATAGAATGAGTCTTCTATTAGGTGGGAGATGAGACTAAATGGTTTCTAAAATCCCATCTAATTCTAAAATTCCCAATTCTAACAGCTTAGATGAAGACGCACTTAGACAAAATTTAGGAATTATATTTTAATTCTGGAGCTACTGCATTAGTTTAGTTAAATTAATATCCCAATTCTGCACTTCCCACTTACCTTCAACATGCATTTGTGTTCAAAGGGGCAGTAAAGGAAGAAAGCTACATGCACTAAGGCAGCGGTTCTCAACCCGTGGGTTGCAACCCCTTTGGGGTTCGAACAACCCTTTCACAGGGGTCACCTAAGACCATCCTGCATATCAGATATTTACATTACAATTCATAACAATAGCAAAATTACAGTTACGAAGTAGCAACAAAAATAATTTTATGGTTGGGGGTCACAACATGAGGAACTGTATTTAAAGGGCCAGAGGTTGAGAACCACTGCCAGCAAACAGTGAACAAGATTGCAAAACCTTTCACTTGTTTGGCAGGGTAACATTCTGTCATGAGGACATGTTTTCATGCATGACCCAAGAGCTTATACTTCAGGAACCAGTCCTCGGGGTTGGCATTTTTATTTTCTAACCACATGAAAAAAAGTCATTAATAATATGCTTGGTCACAAAAACCCTTGTATCTCCCAAGGAAAGGAGGATCTATTATATCAACATCTATATGTATAAAAAAGGCTAATATGCAAAATTTCCCCATGGGAGTTTGATCACTCGCTATGACGTGCGCTTGACCACCAGGGGCGGCTCAAATGAAGGAAGGCCCTTGCCAGCAGCCAGAAGGCCCCGATCTGCCCTGATCGCCGGCCAGGCCTAGGGACCCTACCTGTGCATGAATTTCATGCACCGCGCCTCTAGTATAATATAAAACATTTAACAAATGCTTACATAAGAGCAAAAGTATTTGATGTACAAAATCTTCATCACATTACATTAAACAGAAAGTTAAACTATGTTCACTACATGTCTGCAACTACTGTATCTCTGACTCACTCTAAATACCAATTCTGAAGACTGGTAAGCATGTGAATAACT